ACACTGCTCGCTAGTTTGCTTGCCTCCACGTGGGGTTGGCATGACAACCAACAAAGCACAGCGGGTCACAGCTTATAGGAATGTGCAGCATCTCAGATAATTGCTCAAGTTACCAAACAACACCGGATACCAAAGTGAAATCAAAGAGACATTAGATCATGTTTTTTATGCGTTTGCCCTTCTGTCATCTGATAACGTCGAGAAAAAAAACTCCATATTGGGGAAACTGAGGCTACTTTCTTTAAACAGTGACTTTTCCAAGGCCTCTGCTCTTGGCAGCTTAATCCAGCGCAGAGGCACCTGGCAGCCGAAACAGAATAAACAGCCATTAATTCTTCTGAGGGGGACACTGGACTTTAAATTGATTTTTGTGCTTGAATGAAAACAAGCTACAGCCACAAGTGAGATGAGCTCAGGAGACATTTGGCATTAGTCACCGTTACCAAGCAAAGAGCACCAGGAAGGAATAAAAATGTTTTAACAAGAAATGGATTGTTGGGTTTTCGTGATGTGTTTGGACCACCGTGAGACCAACGCACGGGGGACATATTGTCAGTTTTTCGACTATTATACTGCCTCAAATTTGTACAACAATGAATGACTAAGACATGCAACCGCTGTGAGGAACTTATCGTGCAGCTCTACAGCCAACACTTCATCAGACCGTTGTGTACATAAAACATTTGGTGACTAAAACTAGGTTCATGTCCAAATATAGCACACAGCTGAAGCAGATTTAGAGAAAATCAGCAAACAAAAAGCAATTGTATGTGTTTCCAACCAATGTAGTAGCTCGTTCTAAAAATGACAGCAGGGGTTATTTGAGACGGTGCTCTCCACCTCCGTCGATCGTAGCACCAAATGTTTTCAGAGAACGCTAGTTATCGCTGCGAGAGAGTTTCAAGGAACAACGAGGCTTTTGTTTCAGCTTGTAGTGGTGCAACAGTTTGTTAAGATACATTATGCTGAGTAGTTGTTTAGTCTGTCTCCCATCCTGACAGGTATTTAGATTTTATGGACATTACCCAACAATCCCGTTAAGTGCAATCCAAAGATGCTCACTCAGGTTCACTGGATTACCTGCTGCCTGCTTTCAGAAGAGCTAAATGTGCATCTTGGATAGAGTCTGTGCTGCCAGGTTCCTCAGTATGTACCCATGTGTGGGCCTGGATGTGTAACCTAATTAAATGAAGTCAGTGGCATAATGTGTGAAAGCACGCTGACCTTCTGCTGGTTTTAAGACTTGTGTTGACAAGCGTCTAACCCTAACCCAAAATACTGAAACTCTTCCAGCTCATTTATTCTTACGCTTTTAATATATTTTTTTCCTTTTTATCCAAAGCAGTAGAGATAGACAGGAAAAGGGGGAGAGACCTGCAGCAGAGGGTCATGAACCGGAGTCAAACCCACGACCGCTGCGTCGGAGAACTATAGCCCCTGTTTATGGGTCGCCAGCTCAACTAGGTGAGCTATAGGGGCACCCATGTATTCTTATTTTTAGCGAGCACTGAAGTCATGAGATTTAATCCCGTCACACCATAAATATCAGTAAAATTACGTCAGCATCAGTACGACCTGAGTCATGTGAAAGCTGCACAGCCCCCTGGATCAAAACCCAAATGTGTCTTTAAGTTACAGCAGCTCTGAGTCACCCTTCTGGCTTCCCAGTTAGTACTTGTACGTTTACGTAAGCTGATTATTAGCCATAAATTTATTTAAGTACACACATAAACTTCAGATTTCCTTTTCGTATGACATCAGATTTTCCGCTGTCCAGCGGGGTAACGTTGCACCCAACGTCGCAGAAACAGCAACATGTTGCTATAAATCTGTGAACCACGTCTTACGTAATACAGATGAACTGTGTCGGGGTCAACCTGATAGAAAGCTGAGAATATGAATCGCAGGAACAGTAACCGTTATCACAGCGGTCAGGGCGGCTATGTGCGAACACGCTGCAGGAGTGGAAACGATAGCCTCAGTAACACCACAGCCGCTGATTAAAGCCGTGAATCACTCGGTCTGGTCATGTACTCATTGATTTGCTCTTCTGGTGGACTCACCGGGTGAAGTTGGTGATACAGATGAGGCTTTGTCTCACTGAGCTCCACACACTTAATTATCTGCTGCCTTTTCAGTGCACACATACAGATACTACCACGTTCATGCTGTCAGTTTCACACACACACAGAATGTCATCAGTCCCATTAACACGCACATACAGGTTCCTTTAATTATGTTTTTCTAATGCATGAAATGTCATGTTTACCTGAAATCCACAGGTGACTGATTGCTTCTCTACTTTGCAAACTCTTCAAATAGTCGTGTCTTTTTTATCTTCGTTTTTAATACCCTCTTTTATTTTCTTGTCTTGTAAATTTAATCTCAGCTCATGATGGGTGAGTGTTGATTTTGGCAAAATCCTAGTAATCATTTTATAGGCTGGCACATCCATCCATTCCCGTCGCTCATTCGTGTCTAGGCTGCATTAATTATGAGGAATTATTGCTGCTGGGAAGCATTGATAAGATTTGATTTAATGATACATAAGTCAAGGTCATGTCCTCCCGACTTGTTTTCCATCATACTTTGATTTTTTTGGCCAGTGTGATGGTGAAACAAGCATTCGGTTTTAGTGCCCTACACTCATGTTTCTCATCAGCCAGTGTTACTGTCACAACGAGAAAAGCACGACATCAACATCCTTCTTGAATGAATCCATTGTTTTTGCATACGGCAGGAACAGACTCCCTCCCAAAACCGACATAAGGGAGACTTCTAGGTCTAACTCGTTTAAAGTTTACTGAGTCTGCTCCAAACTAACGTACACCGATATGAAGCGGTACGTGTGGCTGTGTTTTGTATGAACAGACGGCCAAAAAGTGTAAACTTTGCAAGCAGCTGTCTATAAATCACAGCTCAACAACCGACATGGCAGATCATCTAAAAACAGTCGTCTTGTGTGATATTTCTCAGTAGTGTTTGAGCTGGATTACCAGTTCTATTGTCAGAAATCATGTAAAGATATGCAGGTAATTCAATTCAATTCAATTCAATTTTATTTGTATAGCGCATATTTACAACAACAGTCATCTCATAGCGCTTAATAATGCTGATCTGCTCCAATTCTGTTATCGTTTTAGCATAAAACAGCCACTTTAAAGTGATCAAGTGTGCTGCAAATACAAGCTTTTATGATATTTATAACTCGCTGAGGCTCATAAGGCACTTTGTTTTCTATTCTGTTTTATACGTTTCAGCTCAACTGTGGCGATCCCTAAAAAGTGGCCTGATGAAAATAATTTGGGATCCTTTGTATGGTTAAATGCTCTCATGTTATTAAGCAATGTGATTGATTGAAAGCCTTTTTTTTTTTTTTTGCTGTAGTTTAGACTGAAGATGACTCATGTTTTTATGTACTTTTTGCATTTTAATTTATTTCAACAATTTCCGTGAGGTTTGCACCAAAGGGATCAATAAAGTTCTATTCTATTCTGTTCTATTCTATTCTATTCTATTCTATTCTATTCTATTCTATTTCATCTCCCGCTGCACTGTCACATTTTTTAAACTGAGTTGTGCTTTTAGCAGAATTGGTTGCTTTCGCTCTTGCTCGTAATTGTTATATATTACAAAAATAAGTCCTTCAAGTGTGAACGCGGTTGATTAATGAAGTGAATTAAAATGGCATTCCTGCTCAGAGAGACTTGATGAACAAAGTTTAGCTCTGGAGATTTAACATCTCTGCGAATTTAATCAAACAACGCCCCATTTTCATTATTGATCACAGAAAATTAACTGAAATACCACCAGTAACTCGTAAACGTCTCACAAGAATCATTGATTTTTAGCAAATACTTGTTTTTTTTCTCTGCAAATGCTTTAAACGTGAACACCTGAGTAAGGGACTCCCTGGTATCGATCAGCTGTTAATGCAGATGCATTATGGTCATCTTGTTCCGAGCTTATTGCTGCTTTAATAATGCAGCGCTGCACTGATCCCTGAAGGGAGACTCTTTTTCTCACACATGTATGCTGAAGTTAGAGTGCAGTGACCTGTAACTGTGTGATGGAGGGACTCGGTCAGTGCAGATGTTTGCTGATGTGCACCCAGATCTTGTGGCTGCTGGACAGTTTTCACATGTTGTTCTGTCTTTATTTAAACACTGAATCTAAAATAAAACTATTTAAAGTTTGTTGCTGCTTCCCCTCGCTCATTGCTTAACAGTTTCAGATGTAAAAGGTCTCGTGGAAGCGACTCATGTGGATACGAAAGAGGTGGAATTGTGTATTTTAATTAATGTGCAGGCTTATAACAAAAGTTCACCACCCTCTTGAACCTTTCCATGTTTTATGATCACTACATTCATTTAAATATTTAACAAATGACTAAAAGGAGAAAAAAACCCACTTTGAAGTCAGGTTAAATAAATCTACACTGAATGATTTAAATTAAGTGCAAACAGAAGACTCCTTTTACTGTAAAACAAAAGCAGAACATTAAACATTCAAAGGGAAGCTCAGGGAACTCAGTGCATTAGTGTGAATTATTCTGCATGCTGTCATCACTAAATTCTGTCCTCTTATCGCTAATCCTGATGTGACTGTCGGACTAAGGAATGCAACATTAACCTTTAAAAAGCCTCTAAATAAGGAGAGAAACTGAATCAGTGGAGGAGGTGAAAGGAAGTAAATGATGTCAACAGTAGCGTCTCACAGCAGTGTTGCTCTCATGATAGCAGCCTTTGTTGGTGCAACATGTACGTGTAACACCGCTGTTGAACATCTTCTCCTCAGCTAGACGTGTTTAATTCAACCAACACAATGTTCCAACCGAGACTAGTAACACGCTGCAGCACTGATAGGCTCAATCCACCGCTGAGTTTGCTCCTCAGTTGCTGTAAATCCTTCTGTTGTATGTTTTTGCGTTTCACTATTAACTTTGGTGAAGACTCTCGTGCATCTTCTGTAGTAAACGTTGCTGGTCGTGTGTTTGACAGGAAGAGATGAGACCATGCAGCAAGCCAAGCCGTCCTTCCTGGAGTATTTCGAGCAGAAGGAGAAGGAGGCCAACAGTCACAACGACGGAGGAGGAAGAGGAGAAAACAACGCAGACAACCGCAAACTGTCTGCTGAAGGAGATCTTGAAGTGGTGAGTATTTTACACGTCCACGCTGAGACGAATAATCGGCCACGCTAACTTAGCTTAGATTTAGGTTGTTGTACATATGAGCTAACAGGGTGCTCGTCTTGTACTTCTGAAATATGTGTGCAGGGCTTCAGACTAACTATTTTAGTGGCAGCACCGGTGTGACCAACTGTCTTAACACCTCCTCACCCACCTTTTTCTTGGTAAAACAGGGTGTCCTGTTAATTAGTATTGCATACAGATGGATAGCTGTCTTAATTTGCATACCCCAGTGTTGTTTTAATGTAAAGAATGGCAATAAAAAAAACATTTTAATCAGAAAATATGTTAATTTTGTCAGCAGTCTTTTCCTGGAGGTGGTCTGATATCACATTTGTAAACTGGGCACTGGCTAAACATCTGCCAATTGATAGACACTACAATTTACTGATGTTCTCTGAACGCCTCACATACAGACTAAAGGAGACGCTGCCAGGCTGTTGCAGTTCACTGTGACCCAAAATTAACCGGTATAGAGTGAAAGAAGGCGTTCTAATGCCCCAGAGTGGACCCTAGCCACTTCAGCTACGTGTGTTGTTTTTTGTATGTAGAGTTTTCCACAAGCAGAACACATTTTTAATTCTAAATCCCACAGATGATCATGTCTGTATAACTGGAGGAAGCCAAAACAATGATGGTGATTAACATTCATCTCTTTCACTGGCCTTGTACTGCATTAGCCATTCTGTTTGAATGTATTGTCTTTTCTTCGTCACTGGTCCAGTTGGCCTGAAGCTGCACTCTGATCATCAGATGTGTCTGAGTCAGCCTCCTCCTCTCTCTCCCCGTTTGGTTTCTTAAGATAATAAGCCACAGATTGCTTTATCTTTGGAACACACAGCAGCTAAATAGCTTGCTTCACCTGTTTGGTCAGAGACAGACTGATGAGAGAGAAATAGAAGTGCTGCTTTCCACCAGTATGGTTTACTCCATCGCTAGCCGCCCGCTAAGGACTATAATCCCAGCTGTGGAGGCCCTGCTGAGCATTAAAGGAGTTAAATATGTTTACTGGGAAGTAAAAGTTGACACAGCGACTTCTGTAACTCCCAGTCAGCAGTGTTAAACCTCTTAAGGTGTCAACCAGCATTCTAGTGTATTTTATAATGCTTGCATACGAGTACTAACCTCTGCAGAGTCAAACAGCAACACTTTACTCACGTGTAATGACTCTGCAGCAACTCTAAAAGCAGTATTTTGAAAAACATTGTTAAAACACTGTCAATTTTGGTGTGAAAATCAAATCTATTTTCTGAAAAACTAATACCTGAAGTGGACTCAAGTTAGGATCCACATTACATTCAGCCTGTTTACATCACGTAGGAGCTCACTTGTGTCGATGTGTCTAAAAAAAAATTAATGAATTGATGTAGATTCAACATGAGTTCTGATCAAACTGTGTCATCATCAAATGTGTTTTTGTAGCAACACAGAATCAGAATCGTGAGCTGCTGTTTGAACCTGTTAGTGTGCAGTTTGTGCAGATGTTCTCTCTCTCTGTGTCCTTACTGGTGAACCACATTGTGATCAGGTCACATCAGTTCTTAAGGTCCAATGTAAAAAGGTTCTGAAATAGTCTGATGTCAGTTTAAATTTAATTTAAAGCCTTATGAGATGTTTAGTTTTTGTGTCAGTTTCTAAGTTGGTCACACTCTCAGGTTTAGTTTTGTTCATCTGAACAGCTGGAAACATGAATGTCAGGCTGATGTGCAGTTTGACTAACTTTGTTCTCACCTTTCTGAGTTTATGTCTTAGCGGAGCGAGCAGATGCCTCTGTGGAAATCATGTTACAGTGAATGAGAAAGCTCAGGTTGTTTGTCTTGCTCAGAGACATTTAAGCAGGACAAATGGCTGCTGCTGGGATTAATTATTAAATATGTGACCTTTAAATACGAGGTGGCTTCTCTTACCAGATCACCCAGCTGCCTTTGCAGCATCAGATATTCACAGGAGGCCTCTTCTTTCTCATCTGCTGCAAAGCACAGCTGATAATAAACAGCTGAAATAAATGCGTCTTAAATACGTAAGCGAGTAGGCTGATTCCTGGATATTTTGGTCGTTAAAAGAAACAATTTTATTCTTAGCAATGGTGACATTGTACTGAAACGATGTGAAGTGTGTGTGTGTGTGTGTGTGTGTGTTATGGTGAAGACATGCGGCTTCATAGCATCTGATGGTGGGACTGTGGCTTTGTGTATCTGTGGTGTTACGTGCATCTGTTGAGACTTAGATCTGTGCCACAGTGCATTTGAAGCTGTTCCACTAACAGACAGTGACAGGTAACCGCTGCCTGACCCCGATTTTTACTCTTGTTCTGCTGGGTCTTTAATATTCTAAGTGTTGGCTGTGAAACACACGTACTGTCACACATACTACGAATACACAGCACCATCTTCAAGAGGTAGAGCTCTCCTTGCTGTGACCTGTACTGTCAGATTTCATACTGAGCACACTCACCATGGGTTACCTTTAGTACAAGGATCATCTCAAAGTGATGCCAGTCAGAGAACAATGTGGGTCAAGTCAACTGGAAGTTCCTCTCATATCATGAACGTGAGAGGACAAAATGGAAAATAACTCAAACATTTACATCTGCTCTGTCTGCCGACACTTTGGAAATATAGGCTAGTAGTAGTAAGACTTTAACACAAAACACTTTCTAAACAACAAAAACTAGATTAAAGATGGTTCATATTTTGCATTGTTTTCTCTCACTGTGTCCTGCAGCTCTATGGAAACAGCACAACCATGGCTAGAAGTAGACAGAACTCAGAAAAGTCTTTTGTGGAGTGTCACATAGTTCTATTCTCATAAATCATAAGAAAAGAAAAAATGAAAGTTGAAACCTGGTGTCAACATGTACAACATTTTTTCACGTAACACCCACAGGTGTTACAAATAGTGTGGTGGAAAAAAAAGACGACTCCACATTGTCCAGATGTTTCATATTTCTTTTGTCTCCTCTTTGCTTTGTGTAAACATTCTGCAGTTCAGCTGAAAAGTTCTGACTTTCTAATTACTTCCTGGATGAGCAAATGTGCACAGAATTTTTTTTTTTACAGGATCTGGTGCAGATAGTTCAGTTTTGGTAGTAATTTATGTGTAGAAATTTTTATTTATTTATTTTTTTAAGTGTCAGGATTTTAAGCTTAGGTTTGGTTAATTTCCATGGCCCAACTGCCCTTCACATGTCATTCAATAAAGAACTGAAAATTGAAAATCTCAACACTCTTTAGGTTTTGACAGTTACTGTCTCTGGTAAACGGTGTAATTTTGGTGTAAGATGACATGCTTGTGGATGTAGGGTGTTAATATGCTGTAAAAACTAGCTTTTTAGGTGTATTTATTATCATTTAGGCTAACAAGGCTAGCAGGTAGAGTGCACGCAGATTGTCGGCCTCTTTAGTTCATCTGGGGAAAATGTTTAGATTCTTTTCTTCCTGCAACCAGTCGATTGGTTGAAGAGTCGCTGTTAATCCAGTCAATCAAGATTTCCTTTCGTTCATTTCTTTTGACAATGCAGCATTGTCTTATCTTTTGTTTTTGTTATACTCTTTAAAAGTTGTACGATAACTTTTGAAGCATTCGGTTAAGTAGAAGGGATTTGCCTGTTTTCAATATGTGTGTTTTGCAGAAACATGCTGATTATTATCACAGAAGCTCTTCATGTGCTCAGACAGCAGGACATGACGGCAGTTGAAGTGAAACACAACATACCTGTGTGCTTTGCTGCAGCATTCAGAGCATCAGGCAGCTTGGCGGAAATCAAACAGACTTTACTTGATGACTGAAATCCCACTCGGGGGGATTTATTGTCCCATTAGACTTGCAAATGTGAGGATAAGAAGCTAATTTCTTTTGGGATCTTTAATACGTCGAGGCAGCTTGTTGACAGCTTCATGCTGACTGTGTTTAATTTTAGATATGTCTACTCTGCTATTTCTGTATTTTGCTAGCAGATGTTTCTTTAATGTGCAGTTATCCAGGACACCAGTGTTGGCTGGTTGATACTCCATCAGTTTGTGCTTCACACTTGCTGTTTAGGTTTCATTTTGCTGTGCAGGACGCCACTTTTGTCTTTCAAAAGTTGTTTCAGTCACTTTCAGGCATGTTTAAATGACATATAAAATTGTCTGCTTGTATTTAGCTGCCTTAATATTTACCATTTAAACTGTGGTTGTGTCTTCAGCCAGTTCAGCGTTGTGACAATGCAGCACAGAACATGTGATGTGAAAGCACTAACCTGCATTATTCATGAGAAGCAGACATAGAACAACCAGCCTCCCGCTCGTTTCTGTCCATTTTCCATTTCCTAACGTTTTTTTCTTCCTGTCTATTTTTATTCTTTACTTATTGGTTTTCTTTTTTCCCAGCTCTCATCCCCCCCGCAGCCTTTTTTCCGTTCTTCGTCTCTCCTCAAATGGAGATCACAGTCTTGTCTAACGGAGCCTGACAGAAGGTAAAATCTCAGGATGCAGGCTCAGCCATTAATGAACCCATCACCAGTCACATGTTCGGTCATAGTTTAATAGTTAAATATCCACAAGAGACCCGTCGTCACTCAAACACTGTGTGTTTGGTTCCTGACAGTGTTTTGAGCTGTGTGTCTGTAAGTCGGGGTGGTTTTCACAGAGACTTAAATATAATTCATATCGGCAACTCTCCTGGTTTATGTTTTGGTAAAATTATTCATCACAGCATGCAAAGCTGATTTCCTTTCCTTCTTGTAAATGTTCCTGTTCCTCACTGAAGCCACCAAGTGTTGCTTTCAGCAAACTAAAAGGCAAGAGATGGGACAGTACCACCGGTAGTATCTGGTGGTGTAATGGGCTGGAGTTAATCTGTGGTTCATGTAGATGCACCTCCAGTTTGTCACGCATGTGAAGCGTATATTAATTGCAAAGTTTCACCATCATATGGGGAAGTGTAGTTTTACTGTTGCCTGTTTATTCCAAGTAGGTAGAAGTGCACTCAGAAGGCACAGACCTCCACCAAGGCCAACACCCTGTCTCTCTGTTTTAAAGATCATGATCTGCATTCACCCCACACTTTTTTTTTGTTGCTAGTTCTCCACCTCTTTAAGTTTCATGAAATTCAGCCTCCCTTGTAGTTCTTGTCTGATCCTGCTTGCAGAGAAATGGTGCAAAAAACAGACCACTATTTATTCCATCTCATATCATCTGTTGAAATTGTGAGGTTGAAAAAAAGAAAAATATACCCCTTTAAAAGAAGAAAAAAAAACAGTTTAGAACCTCCAGACCTCTGTCCTGTCTGGTTAGGCCGTCTAGCAGTGTTTTTGTTTTTTTGTACAACCTGCTCAATCAGTTATGAAATGAAAAAATACTTTATTTATCCCAGAAGGGAAATTCAATCTTGTAGAAGCTCACTTTTTTTTTTTTTTTAATCAATATAACATATATTTTATACAACAATAACAATAATTAAGTTAAGAAAATTAAGTGAAAATACATCTCTTTTCATTTTGGGGACCATGTGTTTTAAATCATGAAGTGTTCGACATATTAAGCTTTGTATTATTGGGACATGCAGCTACATGTGGTTCAGGAAATATCCCTAGTTGACTTTTGCATTATCAGTTTTTTGAAGTGTGCTTATAGATGGGATTTCAATTTTGTTTATACAGTGCTGCCCATTTATTATCATTCCCTCGGTCCAGGATGGAATTATGACTATATCCGGGATATTCCAGTAAGTGGGCTTCAAGATGGACTGACAGTGTGTGAATAACTCAGTGATCAGATCTCAGGTGAGCAGGTAACTGACAAACAAACAAACACGTTGCTTTCCGCAGCTGACCGGAGTGATAGTCTGACACACATGACCGATGCTCAGCCCGTGAGCCCTAACGATTGGCCGACTGTGACTTTAAACGGGCAAAAGTTATTCCTAGAATCAATTTCGGGGAAATTTGTTCTGACAAAAACCAGGATTATGACATTATTCTATGACAATAAAGGGGCTGTTTTACTATCGGTTATATAGGAAGTGATTCAGGACTTTGATATTTTATGATTAGAAATGGGATATTCTGTAGATCAGTGTGACATTAAGTGGGCAGCACTGTATATATATTTCAGCCATAAATAGAGATTAGAAATGATCTGATCTTCTTGTCCAATATTGCAGATGAATTAATGACACAATGGGAGTTTCAGGCATTTATCTTAAATAGTTATTGAGATATTGGTGTTCAAATAAAGCCTCAACTTTTAATGCGTGTCAAAACTGTGCTAAAAGTCAGTTGAGTGGCATTTTTAAAAAAAAGCAAAACAAAGGAAAGTCTTGGAAAGTATTTGATGTATCAAACCAAAGGTTGACAGATTTCTATAATAAAGTTCATATTTTGCTCTATTAAGTTTTCAGGCCAACCAGAGCTGGTTGAGCAGAACAACAGGATGATCTGATGTGGAATGACCGTCAGAGAAGCTGTGTGGCTACATGAGCACCCTATTTTAATGTTGTTGACTCAAAAGCCACAATGCAATCTCAAGTTGGAATTTTTTGCATCCTTATTAATAACACGCGTTCTGCTTTGTAGAAACAACCTGTGACTACGACTCAGGTAGAACCTTACTTTCTGTAGCAGAACTTTGATTCATGTGGGGTTGTGTTTGTAGCCACTAAGAAGTTCAGTATTCAGTGTTGTAGCTCTGTGTTTGGTCTCCACCAGCTATTTGGCTCTTTAGCTGCTAATCGCTCCACTGTGTTCACCAGCTCGTCTCTGACTGTCTGTGTGCAGTTTGGTGTCGAACAGCTTGTGTTTGGTGCCTTCATCGAGTTTTTTCTAAAACAACTGCATCTGAAAACAACACTGATCAAAACATGGAGCAAGACTCTAAAGCTGTGGGCCATGAAACCAGAAGAGGAGAGATAAACCCCCCACTGTCAGGGACGTTGTCAGATGCTGGAACAAGTCTCGATCATCACCACACAAACACGTGACATGTTATTTGCCTGTGTTTGTGGGGAAACCAGTAGGATCCTTAAAAACCCTTTCACTCTGTGTTCCCATCTTCTACTCTGTTGTTGACTTGTAACGTCACTTCAGTTCACTTCTAACAGAGAAGGAGTCGTGTGAATGAAAAACCTTCACATTATCTCCCAAACAGACACACAAGCTTGACATTGGCACTGTGTTGGTGTGTGTGCATGTGTGTGTGAAGCACGAGAGCTCGACGGTTTGTCAGCTTTTAGCTCAAATGCTAAATGTTTAATGACTTTAAGTGTTCTTCTGTAGTTGTTTGCAAAGAAAAGCTGCTGCAGCAAGCTGTGAGGATGAACCATAGTACAATCAGAATGAGCATTTCCATAATATGATGTTATCAAGGTCTCCTAAACTGGAAATCTGTAAAAGTCCACAAGCTGGATCTACAGCACGGTCGATCGAGAGTCGCATGTGAAGGTGTGTCGGGTGATTTAGTTGATTTGTAATGAAAATGTCCAAGCAAAAATGTAATGATCTGAAATGGATACTTCTTTTTTTTTTTTTTAGATTAAAAATGTATTAAATTGACCACTAAATTATTAAAATAATAAATAATTTAGTCAGTTAGTTGATTGACTGGAGAATATTTAGCTATTTTAATAATCAATGAATCCTTTCAATTAGTTAAGAATGTTTCCGATGTGTAAACATTCAGCTTCTCAAGTGTGAATCAATAATTGCTGCTCTGCTAAATCATTTTCCAAACAGCTTAATCAGAAATAAAGGTTTATTTAGAGCATTCCTGTAAACAATAAGCTTCACTGAGCTACCAGGGTGTGTTGGAAAAAAAGTGGATTTACGGTAAACATGGAGGTTTGACAGTGATTTGAGGTTTTGGTCCTCAGCGTCTGCTTTAGCTTGACCCTGGTGTCGTCCAGCTGGAGGACCTTCCACCCTCTGCTCACGGTTATCTGTCTCGTGGACTAGGACGCCGGTGTTATTTTAGCTCCATCGATTGCGGGTAATAAATAGCCTGAGAGCGTAGTGCTGCTGCTGGTAAAAGCTGAGAGGGGGAATCCCCGGGGGAGAAGCTAAAGCAGGCACCAGGTCCCTATCTGAGGCCTCCGACAGACACACGGAGATTGAATAAATGTCAATAGATGTGGCCTTTGAAAGCGACTAAAATAGAGACTCTGATCAGACACCTCGGTTACTGCTGTCACACGTGAGATATTCTGAGGTTGTGCTAAAGATTTTCTTAAGTGTCCATTAATGGACTGGGTACCTGTCGATACGCAGGCTTCAAGTCATCGAATCAAACAGCAGCACGAGATTGAAGCAAACGCAGTTAGCAGAGAAGCTAACGAACGTGATAAGACTACATATTAAGGTTATTATCATTGTTGGTGATTATTTACGTGATTAGTCAACGTGTTGCGTGTTCTACAAAATGTCAGAAACTGTTTCTCAAATGTCTTTTTTTTTGTCCACAATATTCAGTTTACTGTCACAGAGGAGTAAAGAAATCAGGAAATAATCACATTTAGGCGTTGTCCACACGTAGCAGGGTTTTATCCTGCCCCCTCCGTCCAGAAAAAAAACTTGCGTACACACGACCTCGTTTTTAGAAAAAAAATCATCCACACCTAACCGCATAAGTGCATTTTTAAGCACATTCATATTCTACGTGAGGATGTAATAACTCCGACGACAGGAGAGACGACCGGGACATAAGGAAATTGTCACGCCATGATTTCCGTCTCAAAGTTCTCCCAGTGCGTCCCGGTCTGACCCAAAACTGGCGTCGGCGTCTTTGACAGAGAACATGCCTCGGACGTGGAATGGCGAGGTGGTGGAAAATAACCGTCCTTCGCCTGTGTTCTTGTACGTGGAGCGGTATCTGGGCCTGGACCAGAGAGGATGCCAACACAGTTCTGAGGGCGTCCACACTGTTTCCAAACGTAAACACAAGTCGCATATGTGATGCAAAGAACATAATTTGTCGCAGGCAGTGATGTTTCGAAACCTAAACTCCCGTTATTGACGTCCACATGCAGACACATAAACGGAGGATTCGCAAATCTTCACTTCGGTTTTTGAAAGAATCGTTTTTAATGCCATAACTGTGCGTTTTCGTGTGGATGACAGGCCAAATTATAGAAATATATCTTTGTTTTGTGAGACACCCTGCTACGTGTGGACGAGGCCTTAAGGAGATGGAATCAGAGAAGTTTGACTTTGACCACTCAGACTGAAAATTGCTGATCAAAATAGTTTGCAGTTAATAGAAATGATCAGTTATGTGTTGTAGTTCTGGTGTGACTGGGCCTGGTTCCCGGCTGCAGCACATCTGTTAGTGGTACCAGAGTTTTTCATAACTGGGGTCACGCTGTAGCCTGTCAGGAACACACCTACAGTCTAGTGAGGAACTGATCCGACTGTACCAGTGTTTGCAGGATACAGTCGGAGCAGAGCGACAGCCCTGACGCTGTGTGTCCCCGTGCAGGTCAGTACGTGGTCGGTGGAGGAGCTGCGGCTGAGACTCGCCTCTCTGGACCCTCAGATGGAGCAGGAGATCGAGGAGATCCGTCAGCGCTACCAGGCCAAGAGGCAGCCCATCCTCGACGCCATCGACGCCAAAAAGCGGCGGCAGCAGAACTTCTGAGACGGACCCGCGGCGCTCCTCACGGCGGCGGCTGGAGAACCGACCTCATGGATTCTGCAGCGGGCCGGAGGAACGTCACTGAGGCTGTGCTGAGAGTTCTTCATCCTAATAACTGGTCGTGAGATGATGCAGCTGGATGCAGGGACACGTGATGATCACCACTTTGGATGTCAAACTGCTGATTTTGGTAAAGAAGAACTTCCAGAGAAGTGTTCTCTGTTTGACAGAATGTTATTGACATGTACTGTTGTTTGATTTCAGATCCATGTTCCTTTTTTTTCTGCCCCCTTCTTGAGATAATCTGGAGCCTTTACGGGAGAATTGGTTTTCTTTACAACCTGTTGTATTCCTCATTAATGTGGCTGTTGTGTCTCTGAATGCTAACGTTGCGCTCTTTGCCTTTATTGTACAGATTCGTGGAAACAGCATTTCTTTGGGGGGCTATTCAAAGAAAGCAGATTTTTACATCAATCATTTTTGAGTCCAGTTGAAATTAAACATAAATTATCGACCTGAAACGGACATTTTGCCAACTGCTTTAGCTTCTACAAACCAGCAGACAGCAGAGCTAAGCGTTTAGTCTTGAACTCTTTTATTTCCATCTGAGTTTAGGGAGGTGAGACACCAGTACAACGTTAGCGTGACCCAGACTGACACGACAGCCACATTAATTCGGAAATCAAGTTCAATTAAACCCTCCTCAAAGAACTGAACGGCATTTCTGGTGTGAAAAATGTAAGAAACGTTTCTTTCTGCTTGCACTCAGCTGTCTTAAGCCACGGTGAAAATGCTTAAAGAGCCCATCAGATCTCATAACGTGTAGTTTATTTTTACGTCATAGTGGTACAGCTTCATTGTAAGTGCTGATGTTCAGCGTAGGTACTCGTCTGTTCATTCCTCAGCTGTTTCCCGTCATTGTTGGCAAACGATGATGCTGCTCGAGTCCTTAGTTTTCCCTCTGCAGACTGTGAAAATGTGGAATAGTATCTAGTCAAGAAAAGGATCCATTTTTGAAAACAAAAAGCTGAAAATACAGAATTAAAATGATTGATTTGAGATCTGTGAGAAGTAACAAACCAAGCGCTTGGTATCAGTCGTTAAAGGAGCAGAGATGACAGGATTCATTAGTAACTTTATCTGGTGTTTGACAGATGATGATGACGTGATGTGCATTTACAGTTTGATTTCTTCACTGAGAAGTCATTTCCTTTAGCCTTGCTTCCTGTATGAAGACTCTTCAGTTCGGTACGTGTTGCTCAGCTTCAGCGCTGATTATGCAGCCACGGTGGAAATCCCTTCTCACAACTCGTGTTTTCAGTTTACAAACGAGTCTTCGCTGTTACAAAGGAAACCCTGGTCATTATGTCTAACGTCGTGCCTCACAACACGTTTTCTTTTTGGATCCTCTGTCGGCTGAAGATCATTTTCTCATATTCCTGCATCATCAGCGTGAAGTAAAGAAGCAGAAAAATGATTCAGCTCAGAGATTTTTGTGGAATTAGGTTTTTTAAAACACCCCATTCACTCAAGTTACACTTAACGCCTCTCTCGTTATGGTAGTTTCCCCTTAAACTGTTTATTTACAAGGGCAGCTGGTGGATCAATGCTTCAGTTTTCTATAATTATGCTTTTGTCTTGTTGAACTTCACTGATCCTTCACAGGACTAATTACACAGAAGATTTTACAATCATCAGATGGGATCAGTGAAAACATTGTCCTTGAATTGTTCTGATAAATCACTGAAAAGAAAAACACCCAAACTAAACTGTATTTACATTAAATAAAAGGCTTTTTACACTGTAGAGTAACAGACACAAGACCTTCTCCTATGAGCAGACACATATATATATGTATTAGTAGAGCAGTGTTTTACGATATTAACCTGCAGTCTGTGTTTCTGCAGCAGCTTCCTGGTGCCCACATGAGGGGTTGTAGTTCAACCAACTTCATCAGTACAGTATTTGCTAAACGTTGATGTGATGTTGATAAATGCTAATTAGGGAAAGATGGAAGCAACGTAAAAATATTCCTCTAATTTGTCCTTGAATCTTCAGTTTACTGGCTAATTTGACCTCTTTAGCTCTCCGGATCGGAACTTTTTGGATGATCATGGTTCAGAAGTAAACATGACTTCAGTTAAAGAGCCTATATTCTGCTTTTAGGTCGTAGCTTCTTTCTGTGTGTAGAACAACGTCCACGTCAAAGGCAGTCACTGTCTCCTCACCTGCATCAAACGTCTAGTTTAAAGTCCAGGCTTTTCTTCAGCTACATATCTACATCAGCATGTAACACATTTCCATCACAACAGCAAAGAACGAGACGTCAGAACAGACGGATGGGGCGCTTAAAGAGTTTCAGACAGAAGACATGCTGCTGCAGTGTCCAGCAGGAGAACACGAGTGCTTTTGAACATTAAAGCGTGTAAACATGTTCTAGTCGACCCAAAAAATGTAATTATGAACCTGTGAATGTGCAGAATATAGGCTCTTTAATGCATCACAAATCTTCAGTCAAAGCTATTTTTCCTGAGCTGAGGTTCATGTTTTGAGTGTTTTGACTGTTTAAAGGGAATTCAGCGAGCTCGGCAGTCTTTCACCACCAGTGCCCTTCTTAGTGTTTTCAGTTTTTTAGTTGAGTTTCTAGCATCTATTTTTCATCCTGAGTAAGCTTAAAAAAAAAAAAAAAAAAAAAAAGACCTGGGTTGACAGATGTACGGTTTGTATTAACATACCTCGTACTTCCTGGATTTATGAGTTTGATCTGGCACGGCAGCCTCCGTGAGGAGCTGGCGTCCACCCGGGTCTCATCCAACTTAACTTCGAACATTCCTCGGAGCAACTTGACCGCTCGTGTTTTCCAGCGCTTCAGACATATCTGGTGCACATCCAGCATAAAGCACAAGTTCTATTTTTGTACGTAGGTTTAGCGGTCGGCTAGGAGGCGGTTCGGTTTTGATCACAGGGATGCGTGAGGGAATTAAAAACAAAGCTTCTCAGGTCATTAAACTCCTCAGGGGTGTAAGATAAGGACAGCAGTGGTGAGAAATGACTGTAGATAGTTCTTGAGATTCTTCATATAGAGCTGCGTCTGTATATATGAGCGACACTCGGCTGTTTGTGTGCGTATATCGTGTTTCGTTTTATCGGCTGATGATCTTGAGCAGTTCTCAAACGTCACGTTTCTGGAGAGAAGTCCTTCAGCTTGATATCAGATCACTGTCCGAGCTCGTCTTTGGGTGCAGGACTCCCGTGTTTCTGGAACATTTTGACTCATGAGCACAATTCATTTCATTTTTCTGTTGAAAAGCAAAAGGGATTCTTGTTTCTGCCTTATCTTGTCAACTTTGGATGCACTGTTGTTTGTTGTTGTTGTTGTTTTGAGTGGTCAGTAACTAGAAACTGGTCACTTTGATTTGGTTTTGTCGTGGAAAAAGGGCAAATATTAAAAAATCATGGAGCCTGATTGTTATTTCATTCGATGCACAAGCTGCTCTGCTGATACGTCAGAAATTAAGTCGAAATCACTGAAGAACAGACGGAAAAGAAACTGTCCTGATGTCGTGGAATCAATTCTGTTTGACTTTTCTAAATGAACAAAACGGATCTTTAAAGTCTCAATAAACTGGAGTCTAATGAGGCCAGAACAAACCTCTGCAGGTATTTATTGGGTTATTTTGGCCTGTAATGGTCCTTCAAGGTTTGGGGAGTTAGAAGCTCCACACTGGATGGTTATCAGTGACTCCACTGCTTCGTCTTGGCCCTCTGAACCTCGAGCTGTTTCTGGGTGTTTTTTTTTTGCTCTTGTCATTTTCAGCTACTGTGGGTTTTTACTGTGATATGAACTTCTGCACCTGTACGGAAACAGCACAACATTTTTCAAAAATATGTACAACACAGGTGTTAGTGCCAGTAGTAGGGAAGCAAAATGGCGCCTCTGTAACATTTAAGTTTGTGCATGTTCACCACGTTTTTCACATCAGCTCCAGCGACATGTTTCACCATGCTGAATGTCCAACTAGTTGCTCGTCTGCACCGTATTCGAGCCATTTTTCTGTCACATGACTGTTAGTTGCAGCCGAGTTAAATAACAAACAAGTGATATTGATGAACGATAACTTTGATATTGTCCCAACGGAACTTTACGGCACATACGATTCATTCAAGGACCATTTTTTCCACAGTTTCTGACATATTTTTCAAACTTGCCGGCAGGTTTTGGGGTTCAGAGGGTTAAGTAGCAGTGAACTTACCTTTTGTTGAAAATTCTGTTTTGTGTTTTTTTTAGTGGACGATGTTTGTTTTGCCTCTGTTTTAATATATTTGCTTGTTTCGGGTAAAGAACTGGGATTAATCTGCATATCAGTAGCACAACCAGTTCAGTTTATTTAATGAGTGACTCAGTTACAAAGTGTAAATGCTACTGAAACATGATCTTCTCTCATGTGTTCGCCACTGGAAGCATCTAATTTATTCATTTTCGTCTTCAGTACTTTCTTTTAGTTCTGCCTGTTTCTCATATTTGCAGGTGTTTGGTTTATATTGTAGAAAATGTGCAGTTTAGTATCAGCTCTGTGTTCAAGTATGAACCCGGTAAGAAGGTTCAAATGTAGACACATTGGCCTCCACGGTAAACAGAAAACTACAAAAGAAAGAGAAAATTAATTTGATGTTTTCAGCCTCAGCACCTTATCAGATTTCTGGGCAAACTGCAGGCGAGCGAGAAGCCACCCAGACTCCAGAACCACGAGTTCCCACTGCTTCATGTGCAAAACGGTTTCTTTTCAGGATCGTCTCAGTTTTCTGTTCCTGAAGTGTGTCTGCCTTAAAGTGTGCAGTGCAGGTCAGGCATCTGTTTGAGATCACCGGTATTTAGTTTGTATATGTTGTTTGTTTGTTTGCTTGTTTAACAAAGAAAATAAAAAGTAAGGAAACACGAGGTCTCTGTCTTTGCGTTCTTGAACGTACAGAGTTTAAGATTTAGATTTTTGAGTTCTGGTGGTTTTGTAGTTGGGGGTTTCCACTCACGTCATCTTTTTGTGTCCTGATTTAAGCTTTTTATTTAAGTAGACGTGAATACAGGATTAGAGCATGTGAGGGATGTTACATTATATATATGTTATATGTGTTATATATGTGATATTATTTATTCTATCACTTCATTTAAATATTGCATCATGTCCCTGTTGGAGTTTAAGGTGAAGCATGTATTTAAAAACTAGTTGCTCACGTTGAACTGATGTAAAAAGATATTTCCTTCATGAAATGTTGAATTATACACCATCAAAATATTGAAAAACTTAAATTTGTGCTTTCGTACATTTGTTAACACGTAGACGTAGAAATGGACTTTTACCAGCTCCATCAGTGCTTGAGTGGAGTTTGTAAAAATGTTTAGAATTTCTATATTTCTCCTTAAATATAACTAAAAATGTGGATTTTTAACACCGAAGGTACACAAAGAGAAAACAATTAACCACATAAGGAAACATTATTTATTTATTTATTTATTGAAGAAAATGTTCCAGTGTTACAAAATTAAGTGGTGAAAGTCCATCCATCCATTATCTATACACCGATTAATCCTCACTAGGGTCATGGGGGGCTGGAGTCTATCCCAGCTGACTCAGGGTGAAGGCAGGGGACACCCTGGACAGGTAACCAGTCTATCACAGGGCTACACTTAGAGACAGACAACCAAGCACACTCACATTCACACCTACGGACAATTTAGAATCACCAATTAACCTCAGCATGTTTTTAGACTGTGTGGGAGGAAGCTGGAGAACCCGGAGAGAACCCACACTGCACGGGGAGAACATGGAGACTCCACGCAGAAAGATCCCGGGTGTCCTCACCAGGATGCAAACCTGGGGTGGGGGGGCTGGAGCCTATCCCAGCCGACGCTGCTGCTTTATGTTCATTTTAATTAGATGAGGTCAGAACTTTGACTTGGCCTTTCCAAATCATTTTAACTTTATGCTCCTTCACACATTGTTTGATAAACTGACTTGTGTTTAAAGTCCTTGTTTTGCTGCTCGACCTGTGTTCACTTGCATTCAGCTCACTGACAGATGTCCTCACATTTTTATTTAGAAATTTCTGGTAAAAATTCAGAATTCATTGTTGCATCAATGACAGAAAATTGTAATGGTAAATGTAAATGGCACTTATATCCAAAGCCCTTTACAATGTGTTTCTCATTCACCCATTCACACACCAGTAGTGACAGAGCTGCCATGCAAGGTGCTGCCTGCCACTGGGAGCAACTTTGGGTTCAGTGTCTTGCCCATAGGACACTTTGACTGTGGAGGGGCGGGGGAACAAACCGCCAACCTTGTGATTGGAAGACAAACCGCTCTACCACCAGAGCCACAGCCGCCCTTTTTTGTCCTTGCACAGATGCGACAAACAATGGTCCAAATAATGATGCTGCCACCACCGTGTTTCACAAATGGGATGTTCTGGAATGCAGTGTCTTCATTTCTCCAAACATAACGTTTCTCATTTTAACCAAAAAGTTCTATTTTGGTCTTCAGAGACTTCTGACTTGAAGACAGGCAGCAATGTTCATTTTAAAGCACGGTGGCTTTTCTACTTGCAGCCCTGAGGCTTGGTGGATGGTGTTTTACCTTTTAAACAGAGCGTCCACTCGCACCCCATTTGGACCCCATTGACTAATACATCTAATTCTAATTTACCTTCAAACTGTCCTCTAATCCCACAGATCCACCACAGGAACTTTATCCACTTGTATTATTTCTGTGTGAAAATCCGATTATGTTTCAGATCATATTTTAGTAGAAATATTAAATATTCACAAACTTTAAAGCAGCACTTGAGCTGGTCACATTTCCCTTAAAGTACATTTCTGCATTGACTTTTTAATTAAAGACAGGATTCAGTTTCAATGTTTATTTTTCTGTGTGATCAGTGATTCGTCTTCAGCCTCGCGTTCTACCTTCATCATCGGTTTTGACTGGCGGACGCAGCGACTGAGCTCGCTGTCATCAAGACTTTCTGAAAGCCTTCTCATGTCCCATCAGATCCGTCACAAACACCAAAACTTTTGAGGCACGGCTCGTTCCCGTTTTCTTGTTTCCTCTCCGTGTCTGCTAAAATAGCGGAAATGAATTTTTAATCAGAACCTGATCTCTCTCCTTCACCGTGACTGTGGATGTGCTGGAGAACGTGTGTGGTCACAGAAAATAAATCTCCAGGAGTTGATTAGACCAGTTTTTAAAAGTTATTGTGACAATACTTGGAAGCAGCTTTGACTAACTTTGACGTTCATTTCATTCCTAAGAGGCTTCAGCCGCCCTGTCAGAGGAAACTACACTCCACGTATTTGTATGCAACAACAGAAGATGAAGCAAAGTAAGTGGCCCAAAAAGAAAAGTCTAGTTGCTTTTTACTGACGCTCTTCGGATGATTGATTTCCAATTAATCACCCAAAGAGAAAAAAGAATCTCATCTGTCCAGGTGAGGTCAAACACACTGAAGATATTTTGTGGGTTTTTTTTCCATCATGCTAAAGAGTCAGACATTGACCTGCACATTACGGCAGAGAAATATGACGCCAAGATGATAAAACCATCATTTTCGTTTCACCTTCTCTGACAGACAACAGAACTTTCAGCCTGACTCATTGTGGTAGGGCTTCAGACGGCGTTAGCATCATCGTCTCTCTCCTCCTTAATGCTCTCAGAGAGGAAGGAAACCTGCCGGAAGACTCGAGCGTCCATTATGTGAAACACAATCTGAGCTGCAGAGCATCTTAATGTCGTTCCTCTTGCTGAGACTCACACAGTTTCCCTCCTGCTCGTCTTTGAGAGCAAAGGTTTGGCAGAAGGGAGGCGTCTGCATTTAAAGGATCAGTTCACACAAATCAGAGCTCACCGTGCAGATAGCTTGGCCTTAATTCAAGTTATTTTCTAAGTTCTCTGAACTCGAAGCACCAAAGTTCCTATAAGCACTGACTGCACAGTTTTCAGTGGAGTTCATCAGGTAGACCAGAGGTGGAACAGCCAGTCAGATACTGGTCACACACACCTTGCACATATGAAGAAACTGCATGTTGTTATTTTCATTCCAGACAACTGGGAGCAGAAAACACAAATTAAGCCACGACTGTCAAAAATGCAACAGAAGAAGAAGAGCAGCCAGTGTCTCTCGTGGTGTAAGAAGTGTTTAGATCTTTTACTTGACCAATAGTCGCAGTACCACAGTTTAAAAACGCTCTTTTACAAGTGCTGCATTCAAAATCAAAAGTATTAGCATCAAAATATCCTTAAAGTAAAAGCGCTCATTATGCAGAATCATATATGATAATATTGGGTTCTAACTGTTGATATATTTATGTTTACATCACTTTAATACTGCGGATGGAGCTAATTTTAATTACTGCTGGGTAGGCTAGTCTATACTTCAATAAATGTATTAGTTGTTGTATATTTTACATTAATAACATGAATCTGCAAAGTAAGTAGCACCTAAAGCTTAGAAACAAAAGCAGTGGAGAACAAAGTGCAGTGTTTGCCTACAAAGTATGGTAGCGTTGAAACAGAAAGTAGCAAAAAATAAAAAGTAAAGTTGTTCTAAAGTACAGTATCTGAGTTAATATTTGAGTATCAGTGTTTCTGTTTACAGCATTTCAAGGGCGAGAAAAATAAGTGATAAACTTTTCTTTAAAAATAAGTTAGGTGTGTGTAACATGGTGTACATGTATATATATATTTTGTACATTTGAGATGGACTTTCTAAACAAACACAGGACATATATCGTATCAACAAAGGTGTTTTATGCGCTTTTTGCTTTTGTACATGTCCAAGGATGAAACCAGACTGAGCAGAGGCAGTGTTCAGTCTGACAGAGGTCATGTAGTCGTGTCATTTTTAACGTCTTTTATGTTTAAATCCTCAAATCCTAATCCTGACAACCAAAAATTACATCAGCCAGCACACAATCACACAAAAGACCAGTTTGTCTTTGTTGTTTTTTTAATCCATTATTTTATTTTTCTTAATTCCATTTTATCTTTTGCATTTTGTTGTTTAAAACACATTAATTTAACTCGCAGTTGTTGTAAAAACAAAGAAAAAGTAGCACCGTGTGAAAAACAGGGAAAGTTGATGTAAGTGAAGGAAACCAAACAACATGTGAGGCGTGAGTTCAGACGGATGCCGAGTTCGCTGATGCTCAGAGCAGCCGGCAGCACAGCAGCTTCTAGTCCGTGTCCTCCGCTTGAAGAATCACCAATGATATTAAATGACAGTTTGACAGGTTTGATCCATTTTCCAGTAAACAGAGCAGCTGGATGTTTGTCAAAGTCATCCTGTAAATGAACTCTGTGGCACGACGCCACTGATGCACCAGGCCGACACTGTCCTGAGAGAACTTGGAGGTACTGCAGAATCTGTCTTTATTTAGTTCCAGGGTTTGGCTCATAATCGCAGGTTTCTGTCCTCACAGGCCCGCAAGGAGAAACAGCTCCATACATGCTCTTCTGTTTCGATGCTCGTTGTAGGTTATCACAGTCTAGTTTCTAGTCTGACTGTAGTCTGATAAACCAACATGTAACTCAGATTGAAGGTTGTGCTTTCTCTCTAATTCACTTATTCTGAAACTAAAAATGAAGCTTGTGCACATTCAGACATAAGTAGAAGGTGAAACAGACTGAGTGGGTGAAGAACTGGTTCTGCTTCAGACCAGTCCAGCTAATCTGAGTTCTGGTTTTTATCCCCTTTACGGCCCTATGCGTGACTGTATGTGTCTGTTTGGTGGCGTCCCACTTTGGTTCATCAATCTAACCACTGGATGGACACATGTGAAATGTGCTTGTGCTATTTTTAATTTTTTTTCTACACAGACTCTTTGTGAAGGACGTGCACAAGGCTGGACTAAAGTTACACAAGCAAGAGCCTTTGTGGCCCAACAGC